AGACAGCAGTGTCCTCTGAAGATGCCGGCCACAGAGACTGGCGAAATATTAGGAAGAACAACCTTCAGAACACGGCCAAAGAGCCAGAAAAACCCACAACAACCATTAGATCCCGGCCGTGAAAGCCTTCGCAAATCTGAGTTTGTTTTTGCACTCACAGTAGATATGTCTAACCTAAGATTTGCTCCAGTCAACAGGAGGATTCACTTCTATTTCTGTTAGATCTGTGGGGTCACCTGCATTATAAAATGAATTGGTTGCAAACCAGTGTAACTCTTCAAGGACTTTTGAGGGCCTTTTCTGAAGTTTTGTGGAGGCAACCGCTCTGTATGTGACCTGTCATTGTCCTGTAGAGTGACAGTTCTGAGTGCTCTTTAAAGAATTCATTAGGCTCGTTTAACCCAATTTAAGGTTGTTGTGTAGGCATGTCTGCAGCTAAAATGGCTCTTGAATGACTGGATATAGGCGTCACCAAAACAAAGACGAAAACATACCCGTGTTCCCCCAGAAATAAGACAGGGTCTTATATTAATTTTTGCTCCAAAAAACACATTAGGGCTTATTTTCAGGGGATGTTTTATTTTACAGTCATATCATCTTCTGGCTGCTGCATAATGGAGGGCAGGGTTTCGTTTAACTGTGGCTTATTTTGGGAGTAGGGCTTATATTACGAGCATCCTGAAAAATCATACTAGGGCTTATTTTCAGGTTAGGTCTTATTTTCAGGGAAACAGTATTATTATGTTTGGACAACACTACTTTGGACTGGAGGCGTGGTATTAGTAACTCTCTTAAAAAAACATAATAATGGGAGGTGATCTAGAACCTTTGGCTCTTATTAGTTTTCCATTTGTAGGGGATGAATTTTTTAATCTTGAGGAGTAAGCGAAAGAAACGTTTTTTCCTGCCTTTAGTCTAAAATGGTATGGTCCATACTGTCACCTGATAACAGATCTGTTCTGCATGTGCCATGGTAGAATTCCATGATAATTCCAGACAATGTTGCTGTAAACAATGCTTACCTAGCCTTGTTTCAAAACAAAAAAACAAATATTGCTCTAATAGATTTCTGAGACATTAAGAATTAATTTACACCAACAGAAAGTAGGTAAGGAGCCACCGAAGGCTCCAACTGAGGAGTGGTATACTTCTCCAAGAATAAAAAGATCTTGCACCTAGAAAGCTATTATATTAGGAGTAAAAACTAGGGCTAAATTCAGTTCCTAGCCCTGATTAAAGTAGACCGATTATAGGAAAAAAAACTTGTTAAGACAAATCCCATGTAAGACCTATTGATTCAGTGGGTCTACTTCAGTTGGAATTAACATCGGGATTTTGTTTGAAGGTTGAATTCATCCTTGAGACTAGCTTTTCTTTGCAGATACTCTCCGCCTGCTGACGGACTATTCAAATACGTCATTTTCCTTTTGCAGCTCAGAATAGTACAGTTCAGCTTTGCATTTTTGCGGAGCATATAATTAGCCCAACTTTGTTGTGGAATTATGGGCAGAAAAGTGCCCATACACAAACACGAAAAGGTAAACTTAGGAAGCAGCCTTCAACGGAGTCAGATCAAGTGACCATCTTGCCTGGTGTTTTTACTTTGGCCGCCACTCTCCAGGGTACTTCTAAACCCTTTCCATGCTTCTTTCCCTCCTAAATGGGAAATGATACATGCTTCACTGCTGAGCGATAGTTTTAGAACAGAGGGCACATTTCACTGCAGTGTGTGTCAAACCACTGGATTTTAAAAATGGACTTTGGATTGGGCTATGAAGAAGGTACAGTAATAGATTGGGGGGGGGTTGTAGATTAGATAGAAGTAGAGCACAATGGTCTAGTATCAAGTGGTCAGATATGTGAAGCTGGGTAATTATCGTGACTGAAGATTTGGGACTTTTTGTCACCTTCCGTACAAATAATCCTACTGGAGTAACTGGCAATTGTGACCCCTAACCCCATAAAAAAATAGGAGATGGTCCACTGAGATCATTTAACTCTTACGTTACTCCTTAGTGCCTCAAATCTGGCAGCTGGTGCTCTGAGTCAAAACAGTAGAAGAAAAGCTGGAGAGGTCAATCTTAGATCCCAATTCAAGAATTTTTTTTGTCTTGTGAGATGACCAGATCAGTTTTTATGACATTGGCCTTCCTTATATAATCAGTCCCACCCGCCCCAGTTTTGATATTTTCTTGTCCAATCAGTGGGAGGCTGGGAAATGTTAAAACGTGGACACTCATCATGGCACACCTAGTAACCAGGCCCCCAGAGAGAAATCAAAGGTTTGGGCAGTTGTGGCAATCCAGACCAGCAAAGCCGGTATCGCAGTTTTCATTTTTACTAGGAGCTGGATTTTTGTAAATCTAGCAGGTCTCAATTGTTCACTCAAGAACAAGTCACTCCAAAATACTGTTTGTTCTCCAACCGGGACAAATCACAATGTTATGTTGTTGCTGGGAGGGAAATCCATGCCCATCCAATTACTGTGATGATTGTGTTCGAACTAGAAGGAAAATGTGAGCTTGAGGAGGATGGAATGAAAGATGGTGCTATCTTGTATGGTAAACAAAAGGTCCCTGTGCCAATGTCACATCTTGCTTGCTGAGAACCCATTTTCCTCTCTATAGGATATCTGCACTTATCATGTTTCTTTCTGTAGCACTTCATGTTTTTTAATGTACTCTTGATACCTCTGTGTACCAAATTGACCATTTTGTCCAAAATGCAATTTGCTGTCGGGTTTATCCAGACTAAAGAAATCCCAACAACGCCCTTCGAAATAAAGGCAGGTTGAGACTACATAGAGAATCCTTGAGTGGTTTTAATAGGATGCAAAAGGCCAGTTTTAATCACCATTTTTTTCATTGTTAGGGGATGCGAGCTATTCAGAAAAAGTTTGCCTGGATTCTCTTTTCTCTGAAATAGAGTTCTAATTGTCAGAAATTAGTTATATGAGCATTTCTTAGCATGGAATGCAATGTGATCAGACCTTGGAAAAGTTACTTTTTCTGCACAACACCTCCCAAAATTCTCCAGGCTGCATGGCCGTGTTGGCTCAATATTTTGGGAGCTATAACTTTCTGAAGCTTTGAATATGATTGCCTACTAATGACTGAAGAACTGCTATTACAGGAAGAGCTAGAGGATACTTACCTCTTTATTTCCAAAATCAGTCCAGCACAGTACAGAAAAACACGACATATCTCCTCCACCAAAGAAGCATCTGCCTTGTATCCTTGTTGATCCTCGCTAAAGCAAATATATTTTGCTGCTGTGTTCTACCTCTCCTTTCTGGGCATCATGATGCATCATCCTACTTTTGAAGTCCACCGTATTTTAATTCAATTCCTTTTATTATTTTACGAAAGACAGAGAAGGGAAGCGCTTTACAGTTGCCTAGCAACCACGAGACAGAACTTTTCAACAATTTAATAGATCGCTCGGTTTATGATTTGGAAAAAAATTTTAAAGTGCATTTTTATCTTCCCTCCAAGATTAATGAAAGGGAGGAATGTCAGCCGATAAGATGATGCCAGATACGAAGTGAGATTAGATGTGGAGGTTCCTCATAGCTAGAGTTACAGACTCTTAAGAGCCCAGCTAGAACGTTGTTCACTATATTCAAGATGAAGGTGGACCAGCCTGTCAAAACATGTTAGAAATTGGAATGGATTTCTTTAGGAAAGGTATGTGCCCCCACAGGTAAAATTTGTTCTTCAAATGCAGCTGTTGTCAGAGAACCAATTGCTCCTTAAGAAAACCTCTATTGGTTTAGCAGAACTTTAGTGGTCCACTCTCCTGAAGGAATGCGGCCTTTCTGATCCAGCCATGTCTGAGTTGAGCAGGAATTTGTGTGTGATGTGAATAAAATAGACTAGGGGAATAAAAAAAAGTAAAAATGAATTAGTCTTGTTTTGTGTCAAGTGCTGGTTTTTGTTCTCTTGTTTTTCTCTGAATAGATGATTTTGTGGTTAAGCCTCTAGGCTTTCCTTTGTCATATCTTCCCCCACTCCCAAAAAGACTAAGTGACCCATTCATAACAACAAAATCTGAGGCTGGACAATATCTTTCTGTCATATCTTCCCCCACTCCCAAAAAGGCTGTGAGGGGAAAAAGTGACCCATTCATAGCAACAAAATCTGAGGCTGGACAATATCTTTATTAGATTGTTAAAAAGTTACAAGTGAGACATCTTACAAGAAGAGACTTTTCCATGAGACTGAATTTTGGTCTTCCATTCCATGTCTTCTATTTCACTAGGTAGGACTACCAATTTAGCTGTAACTGGATGAAACTCTGTTGCTTAGAGGAGAGGATTTGCCAGTTGTTGCCTTTGTTACTGTCTCTCATGGGGAGTCTAAATTCAATTTTACTTTGTAGACAGTCTGACTTCACAAGCCAAGGGCATAACAGCTGGCCCAGTTTTTGAGCTATTTGCCTTAACCCAAAGTTTAATAACAACATTGTTTGATGAAGAGTTCCAGAGACTTTGTTTCACCTATAACATTTTAGGGATCCAATAAAAATATTACTCAACGTTGGACTTTGTATTTTTGACAAGAGTAATTCAAATAGCATAATAGATATATTCCCTTGAAATATCCCCAAATCTAACTTTTCACTACTTTTCACTACTTTTCCTACTTTGTCAAATAACAAATGAAGCGACCATCCAATTATAAATTTAACTTTTCACCCTACTTTGGCAAATAACAAATGAAGCGACCATCCAATTAAGTGCAATATAGACAAAAGCCTTTTTCATAAGTAAAAGGCCTTTATCTATTTTGCACTTTATTGGATGGTCACTAAACTGCTTGAGACACAGGCTAAGAAGGATGTACTGTACTGCCTTCTTGCTACCATTCTGCACAGATGGATAACCACCTGGGCTAAAATCAGTATGATTCTACATCCAGAGTAAATCATACAACTTCCATTAGTAATGTTGTGCTCCTGTACAGCCATAGACTGCCAAGAAGACAAATGACTTGGGCACTGAATCAAATCCCTGAGATCCAGTGTGGTGTAGGATACAGTACTGGAGCAGGACTTGGGACAGCTGACTTCAAATCCTTATTCACCTGTAGGAACTCAAATTGGGTGTGTGTACATGGCACTTTTTCAACATTTCACATACCCTGAAAACCTATTAGGGTCATTGTGAACAAGGAGTGACTTGACATAACAATGACAGATCAAATCGAGCTTGCAGGAGTGACTTGACATACATAACAATGACAGATCAAATCGAGCTTGAAGTCTCACTAGAAGGGAAAGGCTATTATACTTTGGGCATTATCATGAAAAGAAAAGACAATTTCACTAGAAAGGAAAATGACTAAGTTATGCGATTATACATTGGGCATTATCATGAAAAGAAAAGACAATGTTGTAAAAACTGGAAGATGGAAGGAAAAGAGGAAAACCTAACATGGCACGGACTGACTCAAAGAAACCCATGCCCTAGGTTCGCAAGAGGAGAGCAGAGCTGTTAATGATAGGATCTTTGGGAAGACACTAATTCATAGGATCAACATCAGTGGAAAGCAATTTCACAGGACCTCACACAAAAGGAAACTGCCCTATCTGGGGTCATGCCTATGGTTCTTAGGCTGCCTAGGATGATGGGCATCAGCTCTCCAGATTCTGAAGAAGGAGTCTCTCTCCTTTTACTGGGCCTCTCCGCATGTTGGTCAAATGTTTTACAACTTTTGAAGCACCACCCTCAACATGAATGATCTCCTATAATTTTGGAAGCTAATCAAGATCATATCTTTTTAGTGTTTGGATAGGAGGCGACCAGACCATATCATGCTGCAGCCCAACAGCACAGTGTGTTCCCAAGTTCAGTCCCCAGCAGAGATTTTAGTGGACCCTATTTATGATCAATGGCAGCAAGCACAAGCCACCCTGGGACAGAAGAGGGCGGGCTCTTGCTCCTGAAGGAGCCGTTCCTTAAAGGAGGTAAGAGGGATGGCTTGTAGACAAAGGGCCTTTTCAGCAGCTGCCCCCCAGACTATGGAATGCCCTCCCGACTGAGATTCGTCTGGCGCTGACGCTGATGACATTTCGGCGCCAGGTCAAAACCTTCCTGTTCCAGAAGGCTTTTAATTGAAATATCAGCTGTGGGTCCAATGGCAATTTTTATAGTCTATATTTTAATTGCATTTTAATGGTTTTGACTTTTTATTGTACGGGTATTTTAAATGTTGTAAGCCACATTTGGGTAATGTGGGCGGCATATAAATTAAATAAATAAATAATAAATAAATTGAGATGCACAGGGCCCAAAGCCAGGTGGGAAGCAGAAAAATGACACTTCCCCCTCTCTCTGCCTAACGTTAGGGCCGGCTCAGATGATGCACTACGTATCCCAAGAGTCTACCCTCTCATTGGACCGCATGTATTTGCAGCAGTAGACTGGGCCTGCACCGGCACTGAATGCTGCATTCGTATAGTTGTTTAGTCATGTCCGACTCTTCGTGACCCCAGAGCACGCCAGGCCCTCCTGTCTTCTACTGCCTCCCGGAGTTGTGTCAGGTTCATGTTGGTCGCTTCGATGACACTGTCCAACCATCTCATCCTCTGTCATCCCCTTCTCTTCTTGCCTTCACACTTTCCCAACATTAAGGTCTTTTCCAGGGAGTCTTCTCTTCTGATGAGATGGCCAAAGTATTGGAGCCTCAGCTTCAGGATCTGTCCTTCTCGCCCCCAGAGACCTTTGGGTAGTGTGGGTGGCATATAAATTAAATAAATAGTTAATAAATAAATCAAGATGCACAGGGCCCAAAGCCAGGCAGGAAGCAGAAAAGGACACTTCCCTCTCTGTCTAACGTTAGGGCCGGCTCAGATGATGCGCACTATCCCAAGAGTCTACCCTCTCATTGGACCGCGTGTATTTGCAGCAGTAGACCGGGCCTGCACTGGCTCTGAATGCTGCATTTGTATAGTTGTTTAGTCGCGTCCGACTCTTCGGCATAGGTGCTATATATAAAGCCACTGGCATTAATTTGTGAAATCATTGTGGAGCTTAAGCTGGGAATTTATCGGAAGCCAGCAGAGGGCCCTGGCTGTTGCTCTTCGGGATGGGGGGGGGCTGGCGGTCCCCCCTCGCTCTTCTTGAAGCCGGCGATATCCGGGGTTGAGCTTCCTGGGTCAGAAGGCGGGGGGGGGGGCGGCGGCTACTATTGCTACCGAATCCATCGTGACCTGGGCGTCCCCCCCCCTCCACCACACACCCAGCCCCTCCCGCGCAGAGGCAAGGGAAGCCCCACCCTTTCAGGGGGGGGATCGCCCCTGCATGCAGCCCAGGTGCCCCTCTCGGGTCCGATGGAGGAAGGGGGGGCACGAGATTTGGTGGCGGCCACCCCCGGCTCTCTAGCCCTTAACCCCTGAACAGCCTGGGGGGGGGGGAAATCGAAAGAGAAGGGTTAGGGAGAGAGGAAGGCAAGGATCCTTCTCTCCATAGAGAATGAGTAGGGAGGCAAAGGCAGAAGGACAGAAGAATCAGCAGAAAGGCACCTAAGGATGCAATCCTTCTTGCTCCCACTTAACTTGAAACCAGGTTCTGCGAATTCCTTGAAGCTGCTTACTTAAAAAAAAACAACAGATGAAGAAAGCACTAATAGTCTTATGTAGTCCTGCGTTCCTGACAGTGGCCAGCCAGATGTCTCTGGGAAGCACAGAAGCAAGGAGGAAAGCTTGTCACTTGTGTGCGTGCTCAACAATCTGAGTGTTTAAGGGTAGACCGCTCCTGGATGTGGAAGTTCAGCTAACATAAGCATCTTCTCCATTGACTGACCTTTGATAAGAGGCTCGCCTCCCATGAAGTTCTCATCTAACCCCTTTCCGAAGCCATCTAAACACTTGTCATCCTATCTCGGTGGCGGTGAATCCTGTAAGTTAATTTTGCATTGTGTGAAAGAGTGCTTTTAGTTTGAATTAAGACCCAATTGGAATCTTTTGCCTGCATATTTTATTGGGTGGCTTAGTTTCACATGGAAAAGATCTTGCTACCTGATCCACACATTATCATCATCCTTCACTCTTCCCCTTTCGTAGACCTGGTTTTTTTGGGGGGGGGGGGAATTAAAAGCAGGCAGCTATACAGAGGAGCTTGCTGGATAGCTCAGTGGTTTAGGTACCTGAGTGCAGAGCCAGAGGTTCGGACTTCAATTCCCCACTGTGCCTCCTGGGAGATTCAGCCTGTGTAGCCTTGGGCAAGCTGCACAGTCCCAAAGTGCCTTTGACCCCAACAGGGCTTCCTTCAGACCAGACATGTACAGAATGGCATTATATGGTCAGGATGCATATGTTTATTTATTTATTTAGCTACCTAGCTAGCTTCTGAATTGCCCAACTTAGTGAAATACTATTCAGGGCAATTTACATAATTAAGCAAAACATACAAATAAAATAATAAAAGAATGCATAGGTAATATCACAAATAAACAAAAAGAGGAAGGCAACCAAGAATTCAAAATCAGTAGTTTCCTATTGACAAGAATTTTTTTTAAAAAAACTGTTAATCTGTCTCAGCATGTCAGCAAAAATAACTGAGTGTAAAAGGGAGGGGGGGAGGCAGGTGCTACAGTATTTAGCTTTTTATTCTTTCTTTTTTCCCTTTACTATTCATAACAGGATGCAGTTACAGATTGATTAAAGTTGGCGTTCTTTTCTTTTTAGTGTATGCTTATGTACAGAGTTGGAAAATTGTTTCAGATGTATTGCATTGGGATGGTCTTCATTCTCCGGTATTAAACAAGCACTAAATATTTGGAGAGCCAGGTGTCCAGGGTTTTTCTACTCAAGAACAAAATAGGGGATTCCCTTGTGCTGATGTGGCTGTTACTCCCGAAAAGGGTGGGTGACTTTTACTCTGGTGCTTCAGTTGTGAATGTTCTGCCTTGGGTGGCCCTGCGAGGCGTCCAGGCTTGTAATGAGCCTCGTAATCACATGGCTGTCAGCTTCTCTGACACACATTGGCAAAAAATAAAATAAAATAATGGATTTGAAAATCCTTTTAGATAGAAGGTTTTTAAAAATTTTATTGTTAAAATGCTTTCTATTTTAAAAAAGCCCTACACTCTTTGATGATAGTTGCCTTTTAAATTTATGATTTTAATTTTAAATTTATGATTTAAATTTAAATCATGGATCTCATGATGGAATAGAGATTATACATTCGGATTCTAAAGTTGCCTTTCTCTTCCTTTTTATAGGTGGAGCGGGAAGCAGACAGAGTGCTTGGCATGTGCCAGGGGTTAATCTCCATGCGCACCATGGCGCCCCAATGGCCCTGCTGGGAAATTCTCCCTTAGTGGAACACCAATAACTCTTCCGCCTCTTCCATCTTCCCACAGTGGAGGACCTTTGTCGTTTTGGGGGTTGCCCACCTTCACAACAGCGTTTACTGATTGGCATCATGCAGGAGAACTATGACAATGTGATCTCACTGGGTAAGACTTGGGGCACTTTCCATTAAACCACCAGGTGGTTGGCACATTGTCTAGCCCAGTAGTTCCTGGGGACCTTGGGACCCCAGATGTTCTTGGACTAAACCTCCCAGAAGCCTTCACCACTAGCTGTGCTGGCCAGGATTTATGGAAGTTGTCATCCAAGAACATCTGAGGACCCATGGTTGGGAACCACTGGTTTGTGACATTTCTCCTAACCATAATTCACTGGTATGAGGCAAACATCAACGGTTTAATCCAGAAATGAAGGATCTTTGGATTTCTAAATGTTTTGAGCTTCAGCTCTCAGAAGCCCAAGCTAGTACAGTGGGGTCTCTACTTAAGAACTTCAGCTCTCAGAAACCCAAGCTAGTATGACTGACCAGCAGTAAGGATTTGTGGAAGTTGTAGTTGAAAATTTTGGATAGTCAGAGGTTTAATCACTAGGATCATCCAGTGAAATGAGGTTGGAGATGAGAGGAACTCTGTCCAGCACATTTTCCTATCTTTTATTTGCTTGTTGCAACAGTTGGGGTTTTTTCTTCCCCTAAACCACCTCCTTTTTCAGTATCTCAGATTAAGGATCTTTTAGTTGAGTCAAAATTGATCAGTGGATGTAAGTTGCGGCCTGAATCAGAACATTGAGTTCAAAGTGCCCCCTTCTCCCATGCAAAGCCATGTTAGTCAGATTTGCACTTCTGGAAAAAAAAATGAATGTGGAAAAAGCTGTGTTTCATCAGACCCAACCCTTTATCTATGTAGCCCTATGATATAGACTCTGAATTGTGCTAGCAGGGCCTTAACATAGTTTGTATTTTTCTACTGCAGTTCCCAGAATTCCCCTTCACCATGGTCAATGAGGAGGGGATGTTCAGAGCCGCAGTTTAAAATATACCTTTGCCATGATCTGAGGTCTCAAGCAGACGTTTGTTCCCCTCTCTTGCCATGCCATTCTTTCAAGTCGGGTAGGCCCTCCAAGACTGTAACTCCCATCTGTCATTGTCAGCCTAGGGAGGGATGTGGGTGAGGAATTTTGGGAACCACAGTACAAAAGCCTCTGGCGTTCAAGGGGAGCTGCTCAATGCTTCAGCCTGGGACGTTCTGCATGCAAACCATGTGCTCCACCACTGCATTTGCTTTCACCTCCTGTAAAGGTGCCTCCCCCCCCCTCCAGCAACTCCTTAATGATTCTGCACTACTTTGATAAAGGAAGCCACAGCTTTCCATTTGTAAGACCTGAGCAGGCCTGTACATGTTGGAACGTTGTGGAGGTTGCTCACTAATTGGGTGGACATAAGTTGGATGTGACTTGATGGCTCATAGCAACCACGACCACCACTGCTTATTTTATTTATTTAAAACATTTAACACCACCTTTTCCCTAAAAAGGGGCAACTTACATCATTAAAAATACAATATTAAAAGCTAAACACGTAAATTATTCAAATATCAAAGAAGAATTAATAACATATTTTCAAAAAGCAAAAATGTGAGCGAAAGGCATGATAAAAAAACGGATTTAAAATTAACAAAATGTAAACCATCCTGTTTGTTGTCTCTTAGAGAGTGGAACAAAAAGGGGCAACTTACATCATTAAAAACACAATATTAAAAGCTAAACACGTAAATTATTCAAATATCAAAGAAGAATTAATAACATATTTTCAAAAAGCAAAAATGTGAGCGAAAGGCATGATAAAAAAACGGATTTAAAATTAACAAAATGTAAACCATCCTGTTTGTTGTCTCTTAGAGAGTGGAAGCAGAAAGCAAAAATGTGAGGGAAAGGCATGATAAAAAAACAGATTTAAAATTAACAAAATGTAAACCGTCCTGTTTGTTGTCTCTTAGAGAGTGGAAGGCCTAGAACCATAGAATAATTGAGTTGGAAGGAGCCTATAAGGCCATCGCGCCCATATCTCAGCTGGATCTCACTTAAGTCTCTGTTTTCCCATTCACAGCAGAGGAAATTGCGATCAGCTGGCCCCGGATAACTGCTTTTGCTGAGTCCCATAGAAGGAGAGGACTGGTTTCTGGTAAGCTCGTGAGGACGGAGGTACAGTACTTGGACGTCAGTCTGTTTCATCTCTTTCTAAAGCAAGAATGGAGAAAGTGTAGCTTGAAGGCTACATGCAGCCTCCCAGGGGCGTTTTTGAGGCTCTGCAGGCCCCCATCACTCATTGATGATTTTAAAAAATGCATTTATTTTAATTTTTCCAATCGTAAGGGAATGTGTGTGTGTGTAGGGGACTCAGCGCTCCAGCTTATAAACCCTCCTCCAAACAAAACCAGAATTAAATCTAGAACTGGATATTTGCTCACCTCCTATTTTGATTATTTTTTTAAATTAACATTTTTGGCCTTTATTTATTGATTTCTTTACTTATTTTATTTCTTTGATTTATATACCACCACCCCCATTAGTGCTGAGGCACTATTCTGGACTATTTTGGGACCTGATATAGCCCTTGACTGAACATTTTACTCCCAGACCCACCAAAGTCGTTTACTCCAAGTTCATGTGCATCCTCAGATGTCCTGGAGGATAAAGCCTGCATGAGTTTGATTGCACTTTTGGATTTCCCTATGATTTATCTATGTAGACTCTAAACCAAGGATAAGGACATTGGCTCAGGTGGGAGCAGTGCTAACTTAACACCAGAGCAAGCTTGGCTGATCACTTTATTTTCATTCTTGCTTAAAAATTGGCATGGAGAGGAATTTTTAAAACCAGATTCTATAAGTTTGCCTTAAAGCAGCATGTTGTACAAATCTTCAGACAGCAATAGCATTCACTTTTGTGCTGGCAAAGCTTCCTCTGCTGATGAATGCACATCAGCTAGCTATTAAAACACAAGAGCAGACCAGGGATTCCCCCGTGCCCCACATCCATGGGCAACTTTTCAGTTTCTATTTTGTCTTCTCTGTGATGTATAGAAATGGAGCCTGATCAGGGCCAGGTGGAACTGGCCGAGATTCGGGACGTGACAGGAGCTGGCCCAAGCGAAGGCGGAATGAATGCTGACCTCCGCCGGCAACTGGGTCTCATCCTGCAGACAGCTGGCCGGAGCCAAGTGGAGAAGATGCTGCGGGAACTGGTGAAGGAGCAGAGCCAGGAAGGGAAGCGCAGAGTCCGGAAGAAGGTGCCCAAGAGCCCCAAGGATGAAGGTGGGCCGGGTCTCATCCCATGAGCTGCGGTGGCAGTAAAAAAAAAAAGGGTGTGTGTGACATTCGTCTGAAATACCGGGGAAACCCTTGACTAGGTTGCCAGATTCTCTGGATGCCAGATTGGCTCCATCTCTCCTGCACCCTCTCTGTGATCTGTCTAATTTAGAACAGTTACCCTTTTGCTTCATTGTGTGGTTATGTATAGGCAACGCAGGGCTTTCTAGATATTTTGGTTTTTATGGCTCCAAGTCAGCCTGGCCAACAGGGATAGTGGGTTGCAGACCCGAACATATGCCCTAAATCAAGTTGCTAGATTTAATTAAAACAAGCCCCCTAAACTGCTGAGTGGTAAATCTTAAATAATTGCATGCCGTCGACTCCAATTTATGGATAACCCTTTCCAAGGTTTTCTAGATAGAAAATACATAGAAGTGGTCTACCATTCCCTTCTTCTTGGGGGCACCCTGGGACTGTGCAGTTTGCCCATGGCTGTTCTCGAGGAGGCCCAGTGGGGAATTAAACTCCTAACCTCTGGCTCTGCAGCCAGATATCTAAACCACTGAATTATCCAGCTAGTTGTAGTAAATACACATTCATGTAAATACACTGATTCTATGTCTCTACCCTGGCTGAGAGTGCCAATTGGATTTAGGGTAAGTTTGCTTCTGGCCTGTATTCTCACGAATTATTCCTATTTAGAAGCGATAGCCCTCTTTTCTACTTCCTGTAACTGGTGCATCACTGCTCCTAATTTCTTCCTGCCTTGGTGTTTTCAGTGGCAACGTTTTAAAACAATCCAAGTCAAATATTGCACTTCTTAAACAAATATCCAAGCTGAAACTCAGGTATCTGTCAGGATGCACACATTTCTGAATCTTGTTAATACAGTTTCTTTAAAAAAAAGGTTATAAAAGCATCCACAAAAATGTGCATATTAGTAGTCATGATTTGAGAAAGTATTTAGGCTGAGCAAAAATTGTATACAAAAATATTTGTTATTTTAGGAAATGCATATGAAAAGACAGTGGAATGAAAGAAGCTTAAGATTAGAAAAATTTAAAAACCTGAAATTTGACTGCTTTACCTGTAACAGCCATAGACTCAGGTTCAGCTTGCATCTAAAGCAACAAGTTTAGCTTCAGCTGCTCCCATCACAACTATCAGTGGTTGTACATTTGGGTTGTGGGTGTTTTACATCCATTGGGAAAGCTCCGTACTGCAAAATGCCAGACAGAATTCTGCGCTAAGACCAACTGGATTCTGTGATCTGCACATATGACACAAATTATGTCAATTTTCCACATAAAGCTACCATATTACCAGAAATCTCACTCATACTTTTTTTTTGGTTATCTGGGGTTCTGTGACACATTGCCCATATCTTTCCAGAATCTCTCCTTAAAACCTTAAGGACTAGAGCCTTGTCTTTCTGCTGAGATGCAGAGATAACTGAATTCTGCACTCATTATCAGTCATTATGAAATAGATACACTTATGCCTAGTCCTTAGCCTGAGTCCAACTGGAATCTATTGTAAAAATGCATCCAACTGATAGCTAGGGGTTTAACCCCTGCATAGCCTAGTGGGGTAGTCATAGATTTAGCAGCCTCTCCTTGCTTCCATAAAATGGTCAAGCTTGAGCTATGGTGGATCTCCGGAAGGAGACATCCCACAGTTTGAAAGCAGTCCCCGGAAATGTGGTGTTTTGTTCTCAGACCAGATGAATGAGAACATGGTCAAGTAGCCGTGTGAATGCCTGAGGACGACTTTCTAACAGCGCTTTCACTGTGTCTATGCTTTCTAGTTGAAAAACCTGATTGAAGAGCTGGGGTAGCTTCCTTTTATGAGCTCCCAGAATCCTCCAGCCAACCTGCCTCCTGGGCTCCATGTTATCTCAGGGATTCTGGGAGTTGTATTCTAAAAAAAGCTCCTGCGCTCCATGTTATCTCAGGGATTCTGGTAATTGTATTCTAAAAAAACAAAAAAACAAAAAAAGGGAGAAATTTGTTAGTGAGGCCAGAGGAAGGGATAAATGCCTTGAATCGGAGATGGTCATAGCACCCTTTGTCTTCCCATCCCCCTAACAGCTGCCGAAGAGGGGGAAGAAGAACCACATCCAGAGGAAGAAAACCCAGAGGCGATGGTGCCCTTGGGTTCTCCGTCCGGGAGACTGAACAGTCCTGATGAGGGGGACACCCGGGGCAGCCACCGCCAGCTGGATCTCCAAGAGGAGCCGCCGTCCCAAGGGCCTGCGACACGTCAGCCGGATGGGAAGGCTTCCAAGAAGCTCAAAGATCGGTGTGTGGCCTCTGTGGGAGCAGAAAGGCCAGGCCTGTGTGTCGAGTGTGGGAAGAGGAATTTGGGCAGTGCTAGGCGGGGGCACGGCACCCCCACTCCGGAGAGGCCGCACCAGTGCACGGAATGCGGGTGCTGCTTCCGACAGCGCTCCATCCTGGCCAAACACCGAAAGATCCACACGGGGGAGAAGCCTTACCTCTGCACGGCCTGTGGCAAGTGCTTCAACCGCAGCTCCAACCTGGCCCAGCACCAGCGGGTCCACACGGGGGAACGCCCTTTCCCCTGCCCCTCCTGTGGCAAAGCCTTCACCCAGAGGTCGGACTTGGAGCGTCACCAGCGGGTGCACACGGGAGAGCGCCCTTACGCCTGCCAGGACTGTGGCAGGCGCTTCTCTGTCAGCTCCCACCTTGACCGGCACAGGCGCACCCACCGGCACAATCCCCGGGAGGAGGGCTTCCCGGCGGTGGCTTCCCTTCTGGCGCCAGCCACCCACTGCTGCCCGGACTGCGGGAAATGTTTCGGACATCGCACGGCCCTCTCCAAGCACCGGAAGACTCACTCCGGAGAACGCCCCTACCCGTGCGATGCCTGCGGCAAGCGGTTCAGCCGCAGTTCCAACCTGGCCCAGCACCAGCGCATTCACACCGGGGAGCGCCCCTTCTCCTGCAGCGACTGCGGCAAGGGGTTCATCCAGCGCTCGGACCTGGAGCGGCACCAGCGGGTGCACACGGGCGAGCGCCCCTACACCTGCGCCCAGTGCGGCCGGGGGTTCTCTGTGAGTTCCCATCTTGACCGGCACCAGAGAGTCCACCAAGCCCAGGCGGCCGCCGCCTCCACCCACCGTTGCCCTGAACACGCGAAGGGCTTCCTTCTGAGCAAGGGAGGCAAGCAGGTTCTCAAACACCCGCTGTACAGCGGCAAGGGGCGCCTCACACGCAGCGGCCACTGCTTGGACTGCGGAAAGAGCCTGGGCAAGATCTCGCCTCTGGCGCCGGCGCCGCCCGTGGAGAAGCCCTTCAAGTGTGAAAACTGCGGGAAAGCTTTCGCCCAGCGCTCGGCCCTGGTGAAACACCAGCGCATCCACACGGGGGAGAAGCCGTTCTCCTGCCTGGACTGTGGCAAGGCTTTCATCCAGAAGTCGGACCTGACCATCCACCGGCGCATGCACACGGGGGAGAAGCCCTACCGCTGCGACGCGTGCGGCAAGTGCTTCAGCGTCAGCTCCAACTTGTTGACCCACCAGCGGACCCACCTGGGGGAGAAGCCCTACGCCTGCGGGGAGTGCGGCAAAGCCTTCATCCAGCGCTCGGAGCTCACCATCCACCAGCGCACCCACACGGGGGAGAAGCCCTACAAGTGCAGCACCTGCGGCAAATGCTTCAGCCGCAGCTCCCACCTCAACCGCCACCAGCGCACGCACGGCAACGACAAGGCCTCCGTGGCAGCCGTGCCCCCGGCCGCCTTGCTGGCTGCCAAACCGGCCCCTCCTCTGCCCAGCTCTGCCTCCTTCACGTCGCCCAGCCCTCTCCCTCCCTTGTCTTCCTTCCCCTTTTCCCCGTCTTCCCTCTCCCTTCCTCCTTTGGACCTGCCTTGGTCTCTGCCCTTTCCGTCCCGGGGCTTTTCCCACCCAGCGTTCTCTTCTCCTGTCCCAAGTGGCGTCCAGGCTTCTTCTTTAACCAACTAGACCCTCTCCTTTCCCCATGACCCCCTCTCTCCATTCCTTGCCCTTTGGACGTTCCTCTGTTTTTCCTTCCTCCATCTCCACCAAACCCCTGTTAGGCCCTAATTTTCCCCCATCTCATTCTGCCTTCCTCATAAAGGAGCCGTCGCTCATGCTCGCCCATCTGGGTTTATTTGGTTGTACAGACCTAGTTCACGTTGAGCCATTAACCTCTGGGAACATTGTGCATCGTGGGCCACCTCTCTTTCCACTGGTGGCTACTTTGCTGAAAACCAGTGCTAACGGAGAGGGCCAGAGAGGTGTGAGATTACACTGTGAGAATAAATTCTCTGTAATCTGAGCTGAGAGTTGAGTTACGTAGACCATCTTTTTTCAAGTTGCCGCCCTTGAGATGCCTTGAGCTGCAAAGCCCATAACTTCCAGTCAGCATCATGATAGCTGCCATAATGGGGAATGATATGTCTTGTAGCCAAGTACATCATGCTAGTGGGGGGGGGATCTTAGTGGGAGAAAGTCTGTTTCACACCATTAACAGCCTTCGCTTCAGGCAAGGAGGTCTTTAATACCAGGGAGCGTTCATACAGTCATATCAACTAACAATGACAAAAAGACAAAAACATTCTGGCACTTCAAAGATATGTTATTTTTTAATGTGAGTTTTTTGCAGATCAAGCCCACTTCCTCAGATATTAGAATGAGGATGTATGACTGGCCTATTTGTACACGGACCCCGGGTCGAAATGACATGCTCTGGGGAGAAAAAAAACAGATGGACTTTGTATCAACTCGTCTTGGTACACCTGATGTAAGCCCTTCTGCATTCTGATATCTGAGGAAGTGGATTTGAAGCATGAAAACTAACACTAAAATACTGCTATTTGTCTTTAAGGTGCCACATCCCTTCCCTCACAAGCAAATGGTAGAAGCCAATAAAAAGCTAATTTTCCTGGTGCGTTCTGGTGGCATGTTCCGCCACTGCTCTCCATTCGTAGAAAGAAGGAAAAGGTTGGGTATGACTGCCAGAGATAACCATAGAAAGAGGAAGAGGCTACACTTGGTGACACTGCTGAATGTGCAGGCCATTGGCAACTGCCCATGGTGCCAGGCCCCGACACTGATCCTGTTTACATTAGAGATGTGATTATCATTCCATCCAGTGCTTGGAAAACTCACTTGACTGAGCCTACAGTTGTCAAGATCCCATGGGAAGCGTGGCCACTGGCTTTCCCAAATTCTCATTCTGTCTTGCAAGGCAGTGAGTGGTTCCTTAACCCTAACCTTTGGTTAACCCAAGTGTTGCAGTGTTGTTGGACTAGAACTCCCAGAAGCCTTCGCTGCTAGCTGTGCTGACAAGAATTGCTGGGAGTCGTAGTCCAAGAACATCAGTAGACCCAAGGTTGGGAACCACTGTTCTAAGGGAACTGTAAGAAGGCATGGCCTTCGTGTGCAGTAAGATGAGGTGGGGAGGTAGCGATACAATCCTGAGGTGTTTATTTTTTGTCACATGTAGCACTTTAGATACGGTGTGGGAAGGATGGGGGAAATAATATTTTTGAATATTTTTCTGCATTACCGTCTTTAAAATGAAATAGTGGGTATCCTGTGTTAGAAGACTTCTCCCTGATGTGGGGAAGTGTTCAATACGTAGGCATTGGTTTGAAATGGTACAATCCACTTTCCTACCCAATCCAGCCTCATACTGCTGTGTGGATTTGGGGCATGGTGGGCAAAGTGCAACCTTCCAGTTGCTGAGCTGTGAATCCCAGCATCTTTCCCCATGAGCTGTGCTGGCTAAGGATGATGGGAACGGCATTTCAGTAATAGCTGATGGCATGCATTTTGCCTGCTCCTGATTTAGGGATTTGTAACTGAGAATTCCAAGCATTGTTACTAAACTATAATATCCCAGACTCTTTTGTGTCGGGGAGAAAACATATGGATTGGTAGCAAATTCATGTTGACGTTTCTGAGGTAAACAAGCCTGTATTAGGGCTCCTTTCTGCCTAGATTGGCATGCTCTTCCATTTTTGTGTCTTCTTGGTTTTGATCTTTCTGCTGTTGGGCAAGCCAATCTTTCCCACCCAACTTTTGAAGTCCTAAGGTGCTACTACCATCCTCTTGATTCTCTACATTGTATTGCATTTACAGAAGAAATGTGATGAATGTCATACTTGGCGAGATCGAAAAGGTGAGGGATGGATTTTCCTTGGTTGCTGCTGAAGGTCTTGCCTCCTCTGACAATTGTAAAGCATGCAACTTGTGCCTTGTTTTGAAACATCTCTGGCGTCTCCTGCCGGGAAAGGATTGTGGCTTTTGGCTGGGGACTGTGTGTACTCAGAACAGAATACTATCTTCAGGTCTCAAGTGTGATAACATCTCTCATGTTCCAGATGTTTTATAGTTTATCGTCATAATCAGGTCTGTGAATTTGCGCAAACCGTAAGCATTTCACATATATAGACATGGCAGCTCTTTTCTTCATTCTTGTTGTTCTTGTTAATATTGTTTTCTGTTGTAGGGAGAATTGTATCAAGTGTAAACCTGGCTGTCGTTGTTGATTTTGGGGGGCGTGGAGCAAAATTTCTAAACTGAATAAAAATAAAAATGAAACATACCATCTGATGAAAAATCTGCTCCCATCCTCTCTCTCATTTCTCCCTCACTCCCTGCAATGCCTCTGGATGCTAACTGGATAATGTTGGTGTGTGTGTGTGGGGAACAAGGAGTGAAAATGTTGACAACACCAATGGCAGCTATCAAAATGGTCTACAGGATACCCTCTTGTGCTCTCTACCAGTCCCAAAGTGACACCACACAGGAGAAAATCCCAGAAGTTGACTCCTTTTTTCATCAGTTCACCACTGCTCACCCAAACACAAAGCAATGGTTAGGGCTGCTTTTCAACAAGTGTGAATGGTAGTGAGGGCAAGAGGGTACCTTGTAGATCATCTTCACTGCTGAATTGGTGTTGCCAACATTCATAGCCCTCTGCTGTGTAAAGCTTGGGCATCCTTTTTCCTGCTAGCAACGTGGCACAACATCACTACACAATATCGAGCCATTTCCTGGCTTTTTGAGTTGTGGGTACAGAAGCACAATATCCTATATTCATAAACTGAAGGGTTTTTTTAAAAAAGAATTGTATGTCCTGGTTTCCCAGGACTTTAAATACATATGCTACACACAAATTCAATCAATAAACTTCCTCATATAGAATGTACCCAATGCTAGAGGATTCCAGAAGCACATGCTCTGTGCTATAGTTACTGGGAGAGAACAGAAGCGAGAACTGCTTGGATGTGGCTATCGTCCCTCTGTGCCAAAATATTTTGAAAGCCTGTTTTGGACTTAATGAAGCAAAGGTGTGAGTAGGAACAACATGTTCAATTGAGAAACACAGAACCTTTAATCTCTCAGGTAAACTAATGTGGCCATGCTTGCTCTGCAGAATGCAGACTATAAAGCTATGTTCCGATTTCCAAACTTTTCTTTGAGTTTGTCAAGCTGAGGAAGAAAAGCTATATTGGGCCAAAAGCTCTATGGGCATGTGTGTATGTTTTCCAAAAGATGTCCCGTTGACTTTTGAAACAAACAAGCAAACAAAAAGGAAAAAAAATTTAATTTAAAAGAAAAAAAGAGCCCTGGCTGAGGAGAAAAGTAGAGGGAAAGCAGGGTTACCTCCTTCTGTCTCCCCAACCTTCACCCCAGTGTTCTCCCCTCACTGCTGTTGCCGCTGTCTCCTTACTTACTGGGTAAACTTACTTATGAGTAAACAGGACAAACCTTGCTTTGGAGATCATCCTCAGACAAAGAAAAAAAACCAACCACAATAATTTCACAGCTTAAATGAGTGGGCCTCCGAATATTTATTCCCAATTTTAAAAATATGCTACCATTTTATATATTTTACACCAGAAATAAGAGACAGTTTTTAATTTCTGTTTGGCCAGGAAGGAATTAAGTTCTCTTTAGAGTCATTTATTTTTTGTCTGAGCGGCAGGTGCAAAATTTCAGCTCTTCCTCTCCCAGAGTGATTTATTCTCGATTTTAAAAATATGGTACCATTTTATATGTTTTACACCAGAAATAAGAGACAGTTTTAAATTTCTGTTTGGCCAGGAAGGAATTAAAAAGTTCTCTTGAGAGTCATTTAATTTTTGTCTGAGCGGCAGGTTCAAAATTTCAGCTCTTCCTCTCCCAGAGTGAAGCTTTAAAGAATGTTTACATTTAGAATCTAAACGTGGATAAGAAAACCAAATCTCAGTAGGGTTTTTTTGCCTCTCAAGTGGCTATTTTTAATCAGTTTTAGAGCCATGATGCCTGGATTCCTTCCAAATACAAAAAAGGGCTCTCTGGTGGTCAGAGATGGGGACTTGAGATGGGGACTCGCTGGCAAGTCAGACCTAAGTCGTGCTGGAGACTCAGCTTGGACTTTTTTTTCACTGACTCGGACTCTACTTGTGATTCAGAACCTGCCCACCCCACCCTTTTTTTCTGGGGGGAAAAGCATGTTTTTAATAGGGACTTGGACTTGTATTTGATCTCTTTTAAATTTCCAACCACAAGAGTTTTCTGGCATCTGTATGGGGGCAGGGGGCATCTTTACAATTTAAAACTCTTAACTCAAAAACCATTTGCCCAAATACTCCCAAATTTGGTACAAAGCAAGAATAGACTTTTATATTACATCCGTCTCGGATTTGGTGCTGATCTGATGTCTAGTTTCATAGATATAAATTTTTATTTGGATCAGCTCTATTTTTTCTTAGTTGTCTTATGGAATGCTAAATGCTGCTATGAGCACAATATATTGGTGCCTTCTTGGGCACCAATAATCAATGGGCACCATTTATGTATCTAAGCAGGATCTCTCCCTCACCAGCAGCTGTGTGTATATATAAAGTCCATGTAGGCATTTGCTGCCTCCCATGAACCTAAATACAGTACTTATTCAGTAAGCTCTCTCTCTCTCTGATTGTTAATGAGGAAGGTGTAAGCTACAGACCTCACTGGTTTTATCTCAGTGGATGGGAGATCACCCATATGCATGATGACTAGGAACAGTTTAAAATTAGAGATTGAGCCATTAGGCCGGTATCCTGTCTCCCATAATGCCCAACAAAATGCTACTGAAAACCAGGGCTGGTCCAAGACCTTTTGCTTTGTCTGATGAACAACTTTTCCATGTGCAAAACCCATCATGACCCATAAGGTCCATTCCAGCTCTACAGATCTAAGATGATAATGATGCTCGTGAATCAAGAATGGGGATGCAGCAGTGTTCACTGAACCAGAGAGCAGTTTGCTAGATTAAGGATCGCAGGTCAGGCTGTGTGGTAAACAGATCTCTCCTTAACTCCTTTTTGCCACTTCCTTAGGTCAGTGGTCTCACTCTTCCTGATGGCAAGTCCGGATTTGTTGGGATATCTATGAGCATGGCATGAAGGTGACAGCCAGAACTCCAGTTTATATAGTAATGATTACATATTTGAACAGAACAGCTTGGTTTGATGGCTATATATTCCTCATTAATTAGTGGGGTGGATCACATGGCAAGGTGTTTCACAATTTGGATGCAAATACAATTTCTGCTCTGTGCTCTACTTTCTGTACATTGAATGGCATCCTCTGTCCCAATGAAGTTGGGAAGTTAGGAGGTTAGGGTGAGGCCTTGATTACTGGGCCCTGAATTCGATTGCTAGTCCGAAACAGAATAAGATACACGGAATCAATTGCTGAACCATGGGGCAACACTTAGATAAATCCCATTGGTTCAGTAAGTTTACTCTAGTTGAGATTGCCAGCCGGATTCAGGCCAACCCAAATCCTGCAAAGGGTGGGAGGAACGTTGTATCTCCATATTTTTTTATTTAAAATATTTTTAACCCACATTTCTCCTTGAAAAGGACCCAAGGCAGCTTACAACAGCACTGCTTCATGCCACACACCTGATCTGATGAAAGACATAACTTTAACCTCCTTTTAAAAACAAACGCTATTCCTGTTTGCAAAGCTAGGTTAGTTGTCCATGAATTGTATAAAGCAGTTGTCAAGGCGCACAGAATCATGTAGGGCCGGTCCTGCCATTAGATAGAGTGGGGTACCATCTCAGGGAGAAGATGCTGGGAGGCAGTAATAGTGACAGTTTTCCAGCTATTCCTCCTGAACTCTTGACTGTCCCTCTGTGGGGCAAAAGAGATGTGCATGTCGCATAACCTAGCCAGCTCCTCAGGTAGCCTCTCTTGGGTGTGGAGGAGGTAAATATCTCATGGCCAATGCTGAAAGAAGACTCAACTTTCAGTCCAGTCATTGATGCTTGTAGGTAGTAGTAGTAGGCACTGTCTCGTCCTTCTTCGTATGTGACCAAATGTGTTCAGTCAGAACCTCCCTCTCCCCCAGCTGGATAGTGGTATAGTCTAGTAGTGGAATTCTGGGAACTGTAGTCCTACATCCCTGTGTTTCTCATTCTTTGGTATGTTGTTGTGCTTCTTCTAGTGACAATTACAGGAGTTGGCATTCGAGACACTCACTTCACTTCTCCCTCTTATAAGCTGCTTCTTGGCCCCACTGCTTGTTTTTGAGTTTCCTTCAGTAGGAAGGAAACTCAAATTTTCAATGTGTGAAAATTGATGCAGAAGCCCTAAGCCGAGCACTGAAAAGAGGGCTTGCCCCCACTCCTGCTTCAAAAAGTCTTGTGCATCTTGAACGTCCTCCACAGTGGAAAGAGATACAACTCACAACTATTTCCCACGTCCGCAAGTTTCCTGGTTTTGAGATGGGGGTGACCCCCCCCACTGCCTTCAGTATTCCACACCTAAGGTTTGCAGCTGCACATTATGCAAATATTACCAGTGCCATAAAAACATGCTCAACATTTTTCCTTTGTAGTGTTGGCAACCCTAAATGCCTTAGGGTTAAAAAAAATAGGCAGTCCTGCAGTCAAATTTAGTTGTCTTGTGCTATTGTTTTGATGGCGAGGAGGGAAAGGTGTCTTTCTCTTGCTGCTTTTTTCCCACCACAGAAATTCCAGGCTGACTTTGTTCCTGTGCAAATTCCTGTCACACCCAACCTCATTGCACCAACCAGTATAATCTCAGCAGGATATACTTGCTTCAACACATTTATTCTGTGCCATGTTTCAATTCCACCGTGTTGCAACCTCCATGTAGACAAAATCTCGCAGAGCCAGCTGCGGGCAAACGAGTGACTGGCTCTAGGAGGGATCATGGCTCAATCTATCCTCCTAGTCAATTTTTTCCTTTTCATATTTGCAGTATTCCTCCTCTATAACTGCAGCAATATCTTCAGATATTACTTCAGGGTTTGTTATCTCAATATATATTGTTTTTTAGTGACTTTTTGTGTGTGTCCTCTCTTAGTCCTCAGGGGAAGAAATGTGACAAATCTGAGGTAAGTAAAGCATTTATTACTAGACTATATTTTTATATTTGTTTTATATTTATTTTAGTGCTATTATTCCACACAATAACTTGATGTTTCAGTAGTAAAGTCAGAGGGTAATATAGAGCCTATTTTTGACATTGAGAAGGTGACAAGATTCGAATTTATCCTCATACACAGAACCTTTGACTTCATTTGAGGGAGACAGGCTAACCTAGAGGCAAAGGGAAGAGCATGCAATACGTAAATAGTTTTGTAGCCTTGTGGCACAGTGGTTAAACTGCAGTGCTGCAGTGAAGAGTCTGGTCATAATTGGAGTTTGATCCTAGGCTTAGAAAGCCAGCGAGAGGTTCACTCAACCTTCCATCTTTCTAAATTAAGTAAACTGAGCACCCAGCTTGCTTGTGGGGGGAAGGGGGGCAACATGTAGCCTTCATAATGAAATTGTAGACCTCTCAGAGAGTGCTTTAAGCATTATGAGGTGGTATATAAGTAGCACACTTTGCTTTTTTTGTTTGCTTTGTTTCTGACACATCACTTCGGCTTCTCATTTGGTGACATCCACTATGTGAGGTAGTTGCTTCATTTTGCCTAATGGTAGGGCCAAGCCCTGGGAACATAAAAATAGGCAGAGCTTAGAAAAGTTACTTTTTCAATGAGAACTCCTGGAACTCCCTTGGCTATCCTGAGTAGAGGATCCTTGGATGGGTCATCCCAAGAAGTAACTTTTTAAAGTCCTGGGATTGTGAAACAGTTTCTACCCAGAGGAAACATACACACTCCTGACATACACTCTGCTTCTGAGGTGTAATAAAAGCAACTAAGGAGAACTGGAGAAGACAGGGAGAGAGAAGTGACTAGGAGAGAAATACATTATGTGAGCTACATATAGTGACTTGAAGTCTGAACTCTGTATGTGCATACATGTGCGCGCACACACAAGGGACGGGAAAAACATCAGAATCTTGTGGCATAACAGGAGTTTCCTTAGACTAAAGCCTATTTTCACGTAACAAAGGGGGTTGCAGTCCATGATAACATATACGGAATAAAATCTGTTTGTCTTTATGGTCCCACAAAACACATTGTGTTTGAGGACCTTCTGAGGTACTGTACGTAGCTCTGCTTCTGAAATGCAGAAGATTAGTTGCCTGTTTTGTCAACATTCGTGTAGTTTATAGTTTTTGTCATATTTCAAAGACAATTCTTGGGGTCCTGGTCAGTAGCAAACCATTTCTTTCAGGCTGCTGATCAGAGCTTGGACGTGTTATTTTCTGGACTAAAATTCCTACCATGTCCCAGTCCAGAGTTGTAGTTAAAAAAACAAAAAGAAGAATATTTCCAAACTATGGAGAGTAGCACCAAATGGCTGGCTGATGAAAGCTTGATCTATATAGGAATGATGAAGGGCCCAGACTGGTGGAACAAGGTAAGGCCTACCATGCTGGGAAAGTCCTTTATATGTACACTGGTGGAAGGCAAACCGACACTTGACATAGAGTTGCTCAGTGAAGCAAATTATGGCACAATATTCTTATCGTCTGGCAAGTTAATACAAGTCTTATGTCTTAAGACTTAAATAAATTGTTTTATATGGCCTCTGACGAATTTGTTATGCAGATCACTGATACATTGCACCAGGATTGCAACTGCATTCCATCAAGGAGACCTTTATAATGTTTTGATTATCACCTGATATTTAGATGCCATTCAGAAATTGGAGGAGGTAAAGTCTGTCCAGGACACTTGGTGTTGCCTGACATGGAACAGTGAATACTGTGTAACTTCCTTCCCCGACTCCACCTTTGTTGTGGAAAATACCCGAAACACATTGGCATCTGAGGAAATCCCATACGTACCCTCCTCTTTTGCAGCAATAAATTAAAGGCAGAAACAGATGGCAGCTTCACAGTTAGAAGCAGAGTTGCCTAAAGAAATAAAGGACATCAGAATATGATCCAATTTTGTTTCCCACCTTTGGTTGCGAAGTCGCTGTTTTATCTGTTGCTACCTAAATGAACAGCAATAATAAACAATCGGTTGCCAAAAGCCCAGCTGTGTAAAATAAGATCTGAATAAAAAGGAACTTTGCCAGTGGAAGTGAGTCAGCCTAACTTCTCTTAGAATCCAGGAACCTCCCATTGCCTGTGAGTAGCCAGCAAGAGAAACCACTCTTGAGTACCTACCAAATGTACCTCTACTGGCAGGTCCAAGATAAAGGTCTCACCCAGAAACCTCAAATCCCTGGCCAGGTTTGTGTGGGAGAGTACAATTCTTTAGGTAGCCTGGACTTCAGCTATACAGGCCTTTATAGATCACATAAAGTATATGAATCTTAGCCAGCACTTTGAATTGGGATTGAAAACAGACCAATAGCCACTGAAACTGTTGTACGTAATTCAGACGCTGTCTGTTCCTTGTAACTGGCTCTAATCTGGCCACAGCACTTTAGACCAGTATCAGATCTCATTTCGAAAACTTGTCTAAGTCACTACCATGTAGAATTTATCATAACGCTCTTACTCCTGTCAGTTTTTTTTTAAAAAAATGCCATTCTGAGACTTTGACTCCCCATCTTATCGGATTCCTCTTGTTTCTCAGCTTCTTTACTTTGTAAAACACACCTTTTTGTTTCCTTCCCTTGCTTTAGAATCATTCGCTTCTTCATGCTTCCTCTGAAATACATTCTTGGCATCAAGATGAACCTCCAGGGTGCTAACCACCTGAATCTGAAAGGGCCATATGTCGTAGTTGCGAATCATCAGAGCAATATAGACCTCCTTGGTACGTCAGCTGCCTGATCCAGCTTTGCTCTTTTTTGTTCCATACAGTGCAAGGTCCAGACAACAGCATGCAAGAAAGTGAAGGTGGTACTTCCACGTTTATTTCCGTGCAAAGCTAACCTCTAGCATTAAGATAGTCACTGGATATAGGAGCCCTTTAGGAATTTATTGATGGAGAACATTACTTGAGATTGCCAAAGAGGGAACTGGGTGGGAAAGTTCTGGTCTGGTGTTCTATCATCCTTGCTGCGGATCCTCATTGCCTGAATGGCAAATCCCACCCATCACCCCTGCAAAAGAAAACCTGCATTTCCCAGAACTTAAATATATATTTGTCTGTTTGTTTGTTCATTCGTTCATACCCTACCTTTATCCTCAAAAGGATCCAAGGCTATTTACAATATTAAAACCAAACAATATATGGACTGGAAGGGGGGAGGGAGTTCGATTTCCCACTGTGTCTCCTTGACAGAGGCTGGACGTGATGATCCATAGGGGCCCTCCCAGCTCTACAGATTTAGATTATTGTTGTTAAATAAAAATACTACAGCCCGATTCTTAAGCAGCCAGTCATTGAGAAAAAGTCTTTACCTGCCTGCAGCCAACACATTTGATTCTGAACGTGAATTAAAGTCCATTTGCACATCAGCCAAAGGGCACTGAATCGGGTCCCTCATTGATGCATTCAATAAGCGTAGTCCAACTGTAGTCCTCTGGATACCATTGGACCACAACTCCCATCATCCTTCACCATTGGCGATGCTGAGTAAGGCTACTGGAAACGACGTAAAGTGCAACAAAAATTTGGATGGTGACACTTTGCCCACCCTGACCTATAGCTTTGCAGCTAGTGATAGAAGGGGGAGTTTGGTGTGTGAGAGACTCTTCCTGAGTGTGACCCAGGCAAAAGACTGCCAAGAAGAATGAACCATGCCTCTAGTCCTCAGGAAGTTCTGGCCACTCCAGTGGATATTACCTTTTTGTATCTCCAAACAATTCCTTCAAGGAACCTGATCACCAATCTTGTGAGAGGATTTAAACCAAAATATATTTGTATGTACAGTATCTGCTTGTGTATATACATGTTTATATATCTATTGTGTACACTTCCTCCAAGGAGCTCAAAGTTCTTCCTAAGCTGGGCATATGTGTGTGCATCTCTGCCTCCTTGCGCGCAGCTGTCTTCCTCCTCTACACAGAGATCACATTAGGTTCTGGTCACAACAGAACCCAGCGTGCGGGGGGGGGGCAAAGTTGTGCACACACGTAACCACCACACCATTCTTATCTCTTCAGGGCTTTAAGGAAGGGTGAAAAGAAGGCTGTAACTGACCTTGCTTTTTACTACACTCTGTGTCTCTCAGTGCTTTTTCAGATCCTTCCAGAGCGATGCATCTTAATTGTTAAGAAAACGGTCTTATCCTTTTTTACGATTGGCATTTGTGCTTGGCTGAGCCACTGCATTTTTGTTGACCGCCAGAAGACAGGAACATCGATTGAGATCCCGTCAGCAGCAGCAGACTCCATGGTCCAAGACAATGTGAGTAAGGAGCGGGGCAACCGTTTATCATATATGACCTCAAGACATACGTACAAACTTATGTTCTGAGTGTGGGTGTTATGTGCCATTGAGTGGCTTCCAACTTAGGGTGACCTTATAAGGTTTACAAGGTGTGTGAGATGCTGAAGGAGAACATGACCATTGCCATACATACCCGTGGGTTTCCATGGCTCAGCTGGGATTTGAACCCTGGTCTCCACAGTCCTAGTCCAACATTCAATCCACCACCCCGGCTCATGAATTGCTGTTGTTTAGTCGTTTAGTCATGTCCAACTCTTCGTGACCCCATGGACCAGAGCACGCCAGGCCCTCCTGTCTACCACTGCCTCCCTGAGTTGGGTCAAATTGATGTTGGTAGCTTTGGTGACACTGTCCAAACATCTCATCCTCTGTTGTCCCCTTCTCCTCTTTTCCCAACATCAGGGTCTTTTCTAAGGAGTCTTCTCTTCTCATGAGATGGCCAAAGTACTGGAGCCTCAGTTTTAGGATCTGTCTTTCCAGTGAGCACTCAGGGTTGGTTTCCTTCAAAATGGATAGGTTTGTTCTCTTTGCAGTCCAGGGGACTCTCAAGAGTCTCCTCCAGCACGCAATTCAAAAGCATCAATTCTTCGGCAGTCAGCTTTCTTTATGGTCCATCTCTCACTTCCATACATCACTACAGGGAAAACCATAGCTTTGACTATTCGGACTTTTGTTGGCAAGGCAATGTCTCTGCTTTTTAAGATGCTATCGAGGTTTGTCATCACTTTCCTCCCAAGAAGCAGGCGTCTTTTAATTTCAGGGCTGCTGTCCCCATCTGCAGTGATCATGGAGCCCAAGAAAGTGAAATCTGTCACTGCCTCCATATCTTCCCCTCCTATTTGCCATGATCTTCGTTTTTCTGATGTTGAGTTTCAGACCATTTTTTGCACTCTCCTCTTTCACCCTCATTACAAGGATCCTTAATTCCTCCTCACTTTCTGCCATCAGAGTGGTATCATCTGCATATCGGAGGCTGCTGATATTTCTTCCGGCACTCTTAATTCCGGCTTGGGATTCCTCCAGTCCGGACTTTTGCAAGACGTATTCCTATAAAGTAGCTTTTAAGCTTGGTAGTAGCATGCCTAGGCAGAGTTGTGCTAGTAACCAACATTAATTGGTCTTTCAAATACAAAGTTTTATTGGGCATACAAGCATAAATATAAACCAAATACAGTACAGTACTTGCATTGGGGAATAACATATAGCAGTTGATACAAAATGGAGAAATACTCAAGTCTAAGAACTTATAAGATCCTGACTGTGGTTTCAAGGCCCATATAGAAGGACACTGTATGCAGATTCCAGGAGATGGCTTGGGTTAGAGTTTTAGCAATTTGGAGTTCAAAGACTTCTGGGTAGAAAAGGAAGGGAAAATGAACAGCTTTCCCTAATGCATACAGGAACTTACACAGTGAGATTAGAGAAAAGAGAGGAACAGAAGCAGAAACTGCCAGTGTGCAAGGAAAAGGCTTGTGCAAGACGATTGTGGTGTCAAGAACGTATTACTTTCCTTTGGAGTCTTCCTGAAGAGGAGTTGTGAAGCTCTGGAAGTCTAGTTGACATGGTTGGAGAAATCAAGATCTCTGACAGAGATCTCAGGAAAGGCAAGCTAGCAAAATCTTTTGAGCCAGAAGTGAAGTTTTTTTTTAAAAAAGTAAACCTTCACAATATTTCAGTCTGATTACATGGGCTGTTTAGCTTGCTGTTTGGAGTGCCTGCAGGGACGGGCTGGTGCACTTTTAAAGACAGTGATCAGACAATGTCTTTGCTAGAACGCAAAGGCCTGTCCCCAGAGCATTCCTACCCACACATTTCTGGCCCCTGTCAAGAAGCTTCTATTATTCTGGTGTGGGTAGGTTTGCTCTGGCTTGGATCGGTTCCAGTGCGTGTGATCACTGGAACTGATCCAAAGCAAGCCTTCCTCTTTCAGTTTCCAATACTGTGGAATGACTTAATAACCAAGCCACTTCAGGATATTGGCAAATTAATTACTGCCCCTCCTTGGCAGTGGGCAGGGGAAGCAAAAACAAATATGTTTTTTTTACTTTGTGTAGACTATCGCAGATACGCTACATCAGTTATATATTTTTTTTTCAAAAAAGAAAAAGACACTTTTCTTTGCCTAATCTTATTCTGCCCGTCGAGAAGGTGCCTGCAGTCAAATTCACAGTGTTGGCTTTGGCTACAAGTAGAGATGGGGACAAATAAAACAAAAAGGTGATTCATTGGGATTTGTAGCTTATCAAGGTTGCCAAACTGATGAATATAAATTTACAAATATTATTGAACAAATTGACAAGTCAATTCATTGATTCGTATTCACTTTTAAATGCTATAAAATTACCTAGAGACACAAAATTCACAGGGAAGCTTCCTCTGACTCTTTTCTACAAGCCCAGAATGTCCAGATCTGAGTTATATAGCCAGAAGGAGGACACCCCCAGGAAAATTCCCTGTCAAGTATTTATTTTGGGGTACGCTGAGCAAACTAGGGTTACAACCAGTTTCCAAGGTCCTCACAGAGAGGAAAAAACTAGATAGCCGCTTGAGCATGGTCTGATGGTGACTGACCTTGTGTCGATCCCCTTGCCATGGTCAGACCATCATCTAATAAAATGTAACCTCGTAGTGGCTCTCCCCCCTCTCATGGAGCAGGGACCTATTTCTATCGTCCGCCCTCGAAGGCTACTGGATCTTGTTGGATTCCAGGACGCCATGAGAGGTGTTACGCCTGACCTGGCTGGCTCTCCTGTTGAGGCTCTGGTTGACAGCTGGTCTACCGCTGCCACTAGGGCTATAGACACGATCGCGCCTAAACGCCCTCTCCTCCGTAGAGCTCGGCCAGCGCCCTGGTTTAGCCAGGACCTCCGAGTGCTGAAGCGTATGAGGAGAAGGCTAGAGCATAGGTGGAGGAAGAACCCGACGGATTATAATTGGATAGCTGTCAGGGTCGCAACTAACCTTTACCTGTCTAAGGTAAAGGCTGCTTGTCAAGCTTACTTCGCTAACCGGATAAGCGAAGCGTCCAACCAGCAGGCGGAGTTATTCCGTATAGTGTGTGACCTATCCGGAACTGGTCCAGATGGGCCTCCTCATAGTTTCTCACCTGACCAGTTTGCAGCCTTTTTAAAATCTAAAGTGGAGGCCATCCGCCGGGACTGAGCAGAGTCGAGTAGAGATGTCCAGCGCTCCGTCTTGTCCAGTAACCTTTGACACCTTTCAGCCTGTCACGCCTGATTCTGTGGCCAAGGTGCTTGACTGCTGTCGAGCCACCACCTCCTCCCTTGACCCTTTCCCAGCCTGGCTAATCAAAGCAGCCAGGCCGATAACAACAGAATGGGCCACTGCAATAATAAATGGGTCTTTCCTTGAGGGCAGGTTTCCCTCTGCCCTCAAGGAGACACTCATTAGGCCCATAAGAAAGAAACCTAGTTTGGCGGCGGATAAAATTGGCAATTACAGGCCCATCGCCAATGTTTCTTTCATGAACAAAGTGGTGGAGAGGGTGGTGGCAGATCGGCTTCAGGCACTCCTGGATGAAACAGATGCCCTGGATCCATTCCAGTCGGGCTTTAGGCCGCGCCACGGTACAGAAACGGCATTGGTTGCCCTGTATGATGACCTGTTGAGGGAGGCTGATGGGTAAAACATCTCTGTTGGTCCTCCTCCACATCTTGGCGGCCTTTGATACCGTCAACCATGGTATCCTCCTGGGGAGGCTCTCCAAGTTGGGAATTGGTGGCCTGGCGCTTGCCTGGCTCTGTTCCTTCTTGGGGGACCGACCCCAGAGAGTTTAGCTTGGGGAGAGTATCTCGGCCCTGTGGAGTCTCAATTGTGGGGTTCCACAGGGGTTGATTATCTCCCCAATGCTGTTTAACATCTATACGAGGCCGCCTGGTCCATGTGCTCGTAATCTCGAGATTAGACCACTGTAACGCGCTCTACGTGGGGCTACCTTTAAGGCTAATGCGGAAACACCAAGTGGTGCAGAATGCGGCGGCCAGACTCCTTAGCAGAGCGAGAAAATACCATCACATTTCTCCTATCCTGGCCGCGTTGCATTGGCTGCCCATTCGTTTCCACATTGACTTCAAAGTTTTGATGCTTACGTTTAAAGCTCTAAATGGTTTAGGACCTCGATACTTGGTGGAACACTTACTCCTACCCAGCTCTACCTGTGTCACACGCGTGAGCCAGGAGGTGAGGCTGAGGAGCCTGACGCCGAGGGAGGCCCGGAAGGAAAAAACAAGAAACCGGGCCTTCTCGGCGGTGGCGCCTCGCCTCTGGAACAACTTACCTCTGGAGATTCGCATGGCTCCCTCGCTGGAGAGTTTTAAGAAACAACTGAAAACATGGACCTTCCCCCCTCCCAGTTAATCCTTAATTTTTCTCCTCTTCTTATCTGTTATAATTTAGTTTGCTCTCTTGCCATCTTGGTGAAAATTTTTCTTTATTTTTTTTTTAAATTATGTTAATGATGTTCTATATATTCTTGCTTTATATGTTATGCTGTAAGCCGCCTAGAGTGTTCGCGACGAACAGATAGGCGGGATATAAATGGAATAAATAAATAAATAAATTCCTTAAAGCTTATGTTACATATGTACAGTCTTCACAAAATACTCCAACAGCATGTCCTCTAGCAAATCTCCAAACTCTCCACACCACATGTGTGTTCCTATGTACAATATGGAACACATTGTACATAGGACATACGGTACATATGACCAATCAGGTAACATTACCTCATCTTGTGTGATCTCATAAGAATTACATCAGCCTTCTACCTAGTCAGCATGACTCAGCTTTATACACAGCTGTACAATATGGCTGATTAATAACTTCCTTTAAACATTCAGTTTAAGAAGTCAAATTATTCCATTACAATCCTTGTAATTTACACGCACGCACGCACGCACGCACGCACACACACACACACACATACACACACACACACACACACCAGGTACATAGAGAATCCAAAATCACACAAAAGCTTTCTATATCTTTCCTTCCCTCTAAAAGCCCTCCACATTTGGTGAAGATTGGATTCCCGGCATCTGAGTTATTCACCCCCAAAGTGGGCCCCTCCAGGAAAGTGACAGAGCCAGCTGGCAAAGTTTGCCAACAAGCATAGAACCAGATGGCACCGACGGAGTTTGGTTTGGCCCCAGCAGAATCGGAGATCTTAGGCATTCAGGAAGTTTGATTTGCCTCCAGCAGACGCTGAGGCATTTGGCATTTTGGCAGCATAGGCACTGTGGCGTTTGGTGTTGAGGTAGGGTTTGCCCCCAGCAGGGTTTGCTCCCTCGATGCATTTGGCATCGAGGTAGGTTTTGCCTCCAGGAGGATCAGAGGTGTTTGGCATCTTGGTTCAAGACCTATGTAGCATTGAGGTAGGGTTTGTCCCAAGCAGGATTTGCCATCCACAGAGAAGAGATTGCCATTGGTCCAACCACAACCACACAGGTTACTGAGTGAACAGATAGACTGCTTCTAGTCTGAGATGGAAAGGTATGGTATATTAGTTTATTATTCACCCTACTAAAAAGAAGGAACCAGCTACTGCCTGTCTAGGAAAAGTGCTTCACTTCTTGTAGCATCTACAAAAGTTATTTGTAGATGCTACAAATAACACACATGGTTCACACAGAGCTTCATGTCTGAGAAATCAGCCTGGAAACAAAGCCATACTTAGCATTTGAAGACCAGTTACAAGTGAAAGCATGCTAGTATGCATGATGGAGATTTCTCCAATTCCCTCTTCTAATGGAAACTATTATTTAAGGTTTAGTACAGACCCCAGACCCAGTGTTATTTGACTAGCAATTTTTATGCCAAGCTGAACGTGCTCATTTGGGTAGTGGTCAGTGCCACAGGAATATAACATGCCTCACAGGGAACTAGGGGAAAAAAGGGGCTACAATCTTTTTATTTTCTTCTGTTTCCAACTGAGAAAACAGGAAAGCCATATTCAAACCTCATTCAATCTTTTTCCCCCATCCAGCTGCGAATCTGGATATTCACTGAAGACACTAGAAGCTACGATTCCCCCATGCTGCCCTTCAAATGTGGAGCCTTCCATTTGGCTGTGAAAGCCCAGGCAAGATTTATAATCTTCCATGCTTTTAATTTCTTTATATATTGTTATTTATTGGCTTCGTATCCTGCCTCTCCTCCTAAACGGTCCGGGAGGTATACATACACTACATACTAACAGTAAATTCAGACTCTGAGCACCTGCTGTTAACATAGTTTACAAAACTAATGTTCTGTACTTTCTTGGTGTTTTTGATTTTAGCCGCTCGGAGTGGTCTATTAGATCAGATGGGCGGGATACAAATCAAATATATAAATAAATAAATAAATAAAACAATGCGATCCATAGGTAAGGTGATATGGGCTAAAACTGGGCCGAATAATTTCTCAAAATTCTATAAGGCCATTCGTATCACAGAACAAGTGAGGGAGGATAGTCAATGAAATGCTGAGACAACAGACTTCTAAAGTTTCTGTACTGTTTTATTAAGAAATGACAGGGGTGTTTTTCATTTCTTTGCTTCTCTTAATGGGGAAAAAAGTGCAGCTGCTTCACCACTGCAGCCATCCTGCTTCCTCAGTGGGAAATCCTGCAGAAAAAATGATGCCGTCTAGTGCAGAGCTTGACAAAGCTGCTCCCTTGGACAACCAGCATTACCCATTTAGCGCAGCTGGGAGATTCTGGGACCTGCAGTTGAAAAACAACTTCCTTGCTCTCTCTTTCTCTCTCTTTCTCTCTCTCTCTCTCTGTGTTTTCCTATGGAGTGTTTGATTGCTATGGAGCATTTGATGGAAACACAACCACTGGCACAGAGTGGGGGCAGCCAAGTGACCATTTGAAGCAAGCCCCCACATTTAAAAAATCCTCACTACTTCAAGTATCATACTTCCCCTTTAAACTAATCTTTGTCTTTTCCAATCCTTTTCTCCTTTACACTTTCTTTGCTTGCGTGCAATGTCCTCTTTCCCCGCATTTCTCTTTTTTCTTTCCCTCTTTTTGGAATTATTTTTAAAAAGGTCATACTGTTGACTAGCTAGTACAGTTACAAAATCACAGCTGTGTATGTTTATTTCAGTCTGGTACCTACCATATCATTTGAAATTTTGACTTTAGTCTGTGACTGGACTATTAAAAATACAAGATGTATGAAAGCAGCTACAGCTTTGGACCTCGGCTTATTGGAAATAATAAAACAAGCAGCAGCAGCAATAACAAAAGACAAAATCCCCAAACACAGAAAAATTGTGTGTGTGTGTTTAATGTTATGCAGACCATTAAATGCAACATCGCTTAGGGCAGAGGTGGGCAACGGCTAGCTCCCCGGCCTTCCCAACCTCAATACACCATTTTAACCACCACCATCCCGTGCCCTTTATGGGGTAAGTGGGGCAATTTTTCATGTTTTGAGCCACCTTGTGTACCTGAGAGTGCCTCACCCCCCCCTTTAAAAAAAAAATCTACAGTATTTGTTTTTAAAATAAGGCCACTAGAGGGCTCAAGGAGGCTTTTTCAGCTTGGGGACATTTTCCCCCCTAAGAAACAAATTTCCATTAGCAATACAGTATTTGCATTATATAACCATGGCATTACAAAGAGTTTGAAAAAGAATTTTAAAACCATGCAGCTTAACCTCTTTGGTGCCTCACCCGACCTTTAACCTTACCCCACCCTTGATTGTGACCCTCAGGCTGTCAGCAAATCTAAAAAGTTTCCTCTGCTTGGATCTCCGATCCCTGATCTGGGGCTCTCAGCATAGCCTAACCCAGTCACTACAGAAGCTCCATCTGAGGGGGAGGCTGGTCACAACCATCAATGTATATAGATCAGCAGCAGGCATGACTTGGGATTCAGACCCAAAGGCTTGCCAACATCCCTGCTTCCCATCCAGTTGCTTGATAGTTGTTGTTTTTTATGTTCACACAGGTGCCAGTCATTCCTGTGGTGATATCCTCCTACCAGCCATTCTTCAGCGAGAAGTTGAAAAGATTCAGAACAGGTAGCTTATTTACACTGGGAGAAAACTGGGACAGACATGGGTCTCTGGGGCACTACCTGAGGCTGGAACTAGAAGCTAGGATGCAAACCGTTTATTTGCTACCCACAAAGGGGACTGGGATAGAGGTTGTGGCAATGGGACTCTTTGAGATGAGAGGTGACATGTTGAACCCTTCCTCAGCTTCTTACCCCCTCCCCTCCTTCCCTAGTCCTCTCTCTTGGGGGTGGCGGTGCAAGTGATAGGGGCATAGACATCCAGATGATCAGTCACACGCATGAACTGGCCCTTGAACTGATTTCAGATGTGTATGTTCTGCCCACTGCGCAGATGCCATTTTTAATGTGTAAAAATGTCCTTATAATTGAAGAGCATGTCTGAAAGGATTACAAGAAGCTCATTATTTCCTAATTCTAGTTCAGTCTTGGCAGGATCTAGTTTGTGCCTCATAATCTCACTGAACGTAGTGGGCAAGTATCTCAGCTTGTGATCCCGCTTATTGGACTTGTTATAAATAATGATTACATGCCATTGAGTCAATTCTGAGTTATGTCGATGCTTACCTGGGTTTCCAAGGTACAGAGCAGAGACGGGCATGAACTGCCAAAATAGTGATTTGTCTTGGTTTGTGGTTCATGGAAGTCCACGAACTAAGAAGTTACAATTTTTCCCTGTGGCTGTCTAAAAATTAAAACACAAAACAAAACCTGGCTTGCTCCCTAACCCCACAGCCTGCCTCCCCCCCCTTCCCACTGCTCCTCTTGCCTCCCTACCATCCTCCTCCACCAGGGCCTGTCAGCTGGTCTGGGGCCATCTGTGCATGACCCTGCTTACCAGTTGAGAGGTGGGGAAGGGGGTAGGGGGAGTGGGAAGAGAGCAGAGGAAGGCTGGGGGAGGGCAAATGAACCAGGAGGCTTGTTGTTTTAATTGTTTTGTGAATAATTTTATTGTAAGCCACCTTGAGTAGACATTGTCTAGAAGGGTGGGATAAAAATCTAACAAACAAACAAACAAATCAATCAATCAATCAATCACTCCAAAATGCAATGGTTCAGGAAGGTTCAGGAACGTTCAGGTTCTCCAGTTTAGATGAAACTGAACCAATCCAAACCAATAAATTAGCAATTTTTGACAACTCTCCTGGTTTGTTTTTAGCTTCGTGCCCATCTCTAGTACAGAGTTGTACTCAGAGGTGGTTTACCATTCCCTTCCTTGAGAGCGTAGGATTGCCTTGCTCCTACTTTAAAGAAATATTCCTCTTTGTAAAGCTGTTAAAGGATAATGCTCTATTGAAAAGGATTCTTGATTTGAAAGACCGCCAGATCCAACTCCCATTTAAAGACAAATCAGCACTAGAAGAAAGATCAGGGGTGGGGTGAGTTTTGAAGCTTCCCATCACCAGTTAATATCTGGACAGCTACTTATGCTTAATTATAGATAGTCAAAGCAGGTTAATGTTGGAGACTTACACTGTTCGGCAAGACTTTCATATCTGAGAAATCAAGACTTCACAGGAACCTGATGTTTGGATCTGAAGAACAACTATAAAAAAAATCTGATTTGCAAATTACATGCGATTATGCTGTGTACTTTGATGATGCTAGCAGTTAAAGAATTCCTTCTTCTAATGATGGATCATCTATAATGTCTGTTTCTGCCTTGTGTAGGTATACTGTCTTCTCTATTATGATGAGATTAATTTCAATTTTAATTAATCTCAATCTGCATTTATACTCTTAATTAGCATATGTAAATTTTAAACAAGTCTGTGCCCCCTTTTTGGTGGTACAATTCCTGTGTATGTAAAACTGGCCACTCTACTGCCCCTTTAAGAGAGTGGAAAAAACAATCATATTGATTATGATTTTGTAATGGTTTTAGTTTTTCATCATGCCATCTGGCAGCAGTATGACAAGAATGTGCAAGCTTTTTAAAATACAAAGATTAAAGATTTGAATCTTGCAGCGTGAAACATTAAGGTCAAACAAATGCTACTATAAGGAGATAAGGACAAGGGAGGAGTTCAGGAACTTTACTTTTTTTGGACTGTGATTCTCAGAATAAACTAGCCAGGTATGTTAGCCCCAAAATTTTGTAAAACTGAATTTGATTGGGTTAGAGCCAAGCTCTTCCTAATGATGGGAGTTGAGCAGACAAACTGGGTGAAATGGGGGTTTCATCAGATTCTATTTGTTTGTCTTTTCTTCAAGGGGAAGTGACAATTCGAATCCTCCCTCCAGTGAAGACGGAGGGACTAAGTCCAGCTGATGTCCCAGAATTAACAGACCACATGCGGGAGACCATGCTTTCTACCTTCCATGAGATATCAGGAAGCAAGCAAACAAACCCGTCAAGATACCAGTTCCCAAGGATCTTAGAATATAATCTTCCCTGTATTTTATTCACTTGCTTGCTTATACTGGGGTTTTATACAACTACTGAAGTGGCTTAGCATGCTGGATTAGGAAATTTTTTTATACTGTAACAGGAATAGGGGGCCAATGCTTGAGGGCTAAATGCATTTTTTTCCAAAGACATTTTACTGTACTTCCTTTAGCTCATCAGCAAATGGTGCCCATCACCTACCCAGCTGAACAGACACAATACCTTATCCAGGCACATAGCAGTCAAGATCCTTTGGCACCTGAGGCAGAAAATTCCACAAACGCATCAACTGACAGCACAAATAAAATTATAATACATGAAGAAGCATGTTTGCTATATTTCTTGACATCCAGACTACTGTCCACACTGGGATACAGTTATTACATATGGTTACAGCTATTTGTGTCATATTTTAGTGTTTTTGTTGTGAAGTTCTGGGTTTTCATCCTTTATAAATTGCCCAGAATAGTGCTTCGGCACTAATAGGGAAGTATATAAATTAAATTAATAATATGTATATTCCAATCTCCAAGATGCCAAGGAATACAATAACTATAGAACCACTGCTCTAATTTTCCATGTGAGCAAAGTGATCTTCAAGGTGTTGCAACAAATCCTTTTACCTTATATGCAGCAAAAAAGGCCTGATATTTAAGCAAGATTCCAAAAAAGAAGAGGCATTTGAGATCATATTGCAAATATCTACTGGTTACTGAGGGCATCCAAGACTTTCAGAAGATCCATCTACTGTATACTTTACAGACTACAGCAAAGCACTGGTGTAGAGAATGAGAAGCTATGGGTAGTTCTGAAAGAAATGGGTGTTCCTCAGTACCCGATTGTCCTGATGTGTACCCTCTATTGTTCTCAGGAAGCTATTATTAGAACATGTACTCGATTGTCCTGATGTGTACCCTGTATTGTTCTCAGGAAGCTATTATTAGAACATTTTATCATCATATCCAATCTGTATGCAGAACATGTCATACTGGACGAGATTCCTATGAATGAAGTGTGGAAAAAGAAGGATGGAAAAAAATCAATAATTTAAGATAAGCAGATAGCACCATCTTACTGGCAGGAAACAGCAATGACATGAAATAACTTTTACTGAAAGTGAAAGAAATATGTGCTAAAGCAGAGTAGACATGGTCTAGAGGGGCGGGATGAAATTACTTTTACTGAAAGTGAAAGAAGTACTGTATGTGCTAAAGCAGGCCTACTGCTGAACACTAAAAAGACAAACATCATGCCTACTGAACTACACAACATTAAGGTGGACAATGAATAAAGTGAAATATTGAAAGATTTTGTATACTGGATCCTATCATTAATCCAAATGGCGACTACAGCCAAGTCATCAGAAGAGGACTGAGACTCAGAAGGCCTGAAATGAAGGAATTAGGAAAAAAAATAATCAAGTGTAAGGATGTGTCACTGGGGACCAAGACAAGGATCATCCATACTGTTATATTTATCACTAAATACGGCTGTGAAAGCTGGAGAAGAGCTTTGCAGACATCCTGGACTATCAAAAAGACGAAGTGGGTCCTAAATAAAATCAAGCCTGAAATATCCCTGGGGTCAAAAATGATGAAACTGAGGCTGTCCTACTTTGATCACATCATGAAAAGGCAAGATTTGCTGGAAAAGACAACACTGCTTGGAAACGTTGAGGGCAAGAGGAAAAAAGGAGTACTAAATTATGAAACAGATCAACTTCATCAAGGAAGCCGCAGGGTTGCATTTACAAGGGCTGAGCAAGGCTCGCTCACTGATAGGGGTGCTGTAAGTTGGAGGTCACTTGACAGCGCATAACAATGTAATGTAACGTACTGCGATCTTTAAAAGTGACACAAAACATCTTGTTTGCACCCAAAACAAAGCCCCCTGTTTTTCATCTGTTCACTGTGGGAAGGTCTTCCATGGAACTCGCTGCTTTGCCTGAGAGCCCTTTCTGGGCAAGGCGGCATTGTGAGGCAAGTGCCTGTTGCCGTGGTAACCGGCACCGCTGAAGCGGCAAGGACAGACGGCTGGGTCTGTTTCAGAAAGGGAGATCCTGTCTGGAGAAGTAAAAGCACCATCAGATGGTGAGGTGAGACGGATGCCGCACGGATCCTCCTGTCCTGAAGCTGGACCTTGAGCCCTGCACGCCTAAGTTTGCCCTAGAGAAAACAGCCTTATTGGATCCAGGTAAATGTGGCCCAAGTTCAGCCCCTCGGGCCCGGTTCCTCCACAATTCCACCCTTGGCTCCCACCCTATTGAACCCCTTGTAGAGCAGACCAAGCATTGCAACGTTAAATACTGCCAAATGTTTGCACTTAGGTGTTCATGGTGAGTGGATGAGGTGTGTGTGTTCCACCACTTATATGTGGGATTGTGCTCACCAACCTGTTTCTTGTTTTCGGGAACCCTCTTTCAAGGCTGCAGGGCTCCTTCAACACGACGAGGTTGGGAGACACGAATGGATTGAGTGGGTTTGTGGTCTAGCAAAGCTATTTCTATGTTCTCATCAGAATAAAATTGTAAAACTGCATTAACAAATGTTGACATTTGAGGATTATTTCCATTCAAATAATATGTATTTCCATTCAGAATAATGACTGGCAAGAGTCTGGCGTTTTACAAAAGTAAAGAGCTGCTCACACTGTCTGTTCCACTGTAAGGGGCCCTTCATTTTGCCAGGTAAAAGGATCAGTTTCAGCATGCCCAAGTCCACTGATGTTTCCTCTCTCTCATCTCTGACTATGCTGTTTATTACAGTTCCATGCTCTGCTCAACGTGGACCACGTCCCTTGGTCAACTGGCTCCCATCTGCTTCTTGCATTGTGATGGAATCTAGTGCCATTAAGTTATAACACGGCTGCTGTGTGATATTTGCTTCTCTCCCCTGCCAGTACCGGCAGCTCAATCCCAGCCATGGGTCCTCCTCCTACCCACCTGCTGACAGGCCCAGTTGGTGCCAAAAAATGGCACAAAGATACTGAAACAGCACTGAAAGAAACCACCAAAGTGACGAAGCGCTGTGGGAAAGAGGCCCTTGATCTTTGGCGCTCAGTCCAACCTCCAGACCAGCCTGAGGAAACACCATACGAACACAAGGCCAAGATTGACTCCTGGAGATTTAAGCTTGATGTCCTGGCAACTGGAGAGGTGAAGACCAAACCTCCAGAAGGACCAGGAGTGACCCTATGGAAAAGCAAATTGAAACCTCCCCCTTGGATCTGCAAAATCGCTTTGCCGTGCTGTCGCGACTTCAGTACCATGAAGAACAATGAGTTTGTGGCTCAGTATGTGAGGGAGACCCGCCTAGTGGTGAGCCGTCTGCGCCAGGCCCTCATTGAGATCAATGAGCAGTTCAAGGGGCTGCTGCGCCTGAGACAGAAGCTTGATGCTACTTTGGATAAAGTTCGCCAGGGCCTCGTCACCAACAAGCAGAGCCAAGCCATCCGGGAGCACCGGCCAGAATCAGAAAAGGTGAGCCCTTCTTTGACACACATAGATGTGTGCCTTCTCTGGCACACGTATCTCAGACACACAAAGTTAATTACTTCCTGACGAGTCAAACTGATGAATCATTGCCAAGGAGAAAATCATGTGTGGCAAGCCATCATTTGCAGACTGCCTGAGCCATAGTTCGTTTAAAACAATCCATGAATTGTGTGGCCCATTATTCTTCACTTGTCATTGTAGCAACATTTGTAGAGATTTTGCTTCTCTGATTAGAACATGTTAGGCAAGCAATTTGTGTTGGACAAACACATTTTCTGTCTCCATGTCATTTACTCCAAGCAGATTAAAATCAGAGGCACCTAGGGGGAATGAATTCCATCCTATTAAATCAAGGAACTTATTTGTCTGAGAGTATTAGATCCCTCCCTCTTTGAAGGCATATCTGCACCAGAATTTGGCATGCCCCTTGCATCACATTTTTTAAAAGAAATAATCACCAATTCCTGTGGCAATGAATTATGTATGTTAATTATCTATTATGTGAAGACATGCTTCCTTTCATTTGCACCAAATCCACTGCATCATTGGCACATAGGTGGAAATTAGCCTCAGTTTTCCAGGGAATTCTCTGGTGGAACATTTCAAGGTTGTAGCAGAAGCATAGGCTGTTGGCTAAGTCCTCTGTTTTCCTAAACTGGAAAACATTTGTTTGTTTGTTCAGTCATTTAGTCGTGTCCGACTCTTCGTGATCCCATGGACCAGAGCACGCCAGGCCCTCCTATCTTCCACCGCCTCCCGGAGTTGTGTCAAATTCATGTTGGTTGCTTCGATGACACTGTCCAACCATCTCATCCTCGGTCGTCCCCTTCTCCTCTTGCCTTCACACTTTCCCAACATCAAAGTCTTTTCCAAGGAGTCTTCTCTTCTCATGAGATGGCCAAAGTACTGGAGCCTCAGCTTCAGGATCTGTCCTTCCAATGAGCACTCGGGGTTGATTTCCTTTAGAATTGATAGGTTTGTTCTCTTTGCAGTCCAGGGAACTCTCAAGAGTCTCCTCCAGCACCACAATTCAAAGGCATTAATTCTTTGGCGGTCAGCTTTCTTTATGGTCCAGCTCTCACTTCCATACAACACTACAGGAAAAACCATAGCTTTGACTATTCGGGCTTTTGTTGGCAAGGTGATGTCTCTGCTTTTTAAGATGCTGTCAAGGTTTGTCATTGCTTTCCTCCCAAGAAGCAGGCATCTTTTAATTTCGGGGCTGCTGTCCCCATCTGCAGTGATCATGGAGCCCAAGAAAGTAAAATCTGT